TTTGCAAGGAGGGACAAAAGACACACACAGCATGGCAGGAGAAGCACAGAGGTTTGAACTGCATACCTGTAATCTTGAGTTCAGAGGGTTAGGATTGTGCAGCCATATTGGATGGCAGCTTTAAAGAGTGACTCAAAAAACAAGACTTTATCATAATGAGAAGGCAATAATGACAAGCACAGTCTTCCAAATCCATTTGTTCTCAACTTGTTTTTCTAAAACCCATGAATTCACCAGCACTCTTAATTGTGAATGATGATTCACAATATGGTTATTTATTAACAATTACTTAGAAGCAGTATTAACAAGTCCAGGCAGCCAAAGGGGAAAAATGTGCTATACGTATTTTTTTAATCTTCTATAATCCTGAAGTATTTATAGTTAAATGAAAAAGCTGAAAAAAACTTTGCAAATGTCTACACAACCAACAAAAGGTAAAGGTAAATAAAAGCAATCACTAGTTTTTGTCAGAATGGAAGATCATTTCTTAAATCTGTTCTCTTGGCAGAGGGAAAAACAGAACAAAGTTAAAGGAATGGCATGTGGAACAAACTGTTGCCAAGAAGGAAGCAGAAGAAGAGAAGACAACAAAGACCAGGAAAGAAAATGGAGAAAAGAGGATACGGGAAAGATATAAAACACTAAAGGTCACACCACCACTGTTGATTCAAACAGGAAGCATATTTTTCCATGGACATCACAGTAAGACACTGGACAAACCAGCAAAAGCTTGAGGAAATGCCTTAAATGGAATCATCAGATGAAGAGGGACATCAAACCTATCACAGCCAGGACGAAAGGGCTGGTGCACAAAACGCCTGACCATAGGAGAAAAACATGCAAGGATTATATCATTCTATGGTGGGAGGAGGACTCACATGATTTTGATGCATCCTAGAAACCAGGAGAAAAATTCTAGCTGTAACTCACACATTAATAAATCAGTTTTGGGTAGGAAGTTTTTCTTTATTTTCTAAGAGGAAGCATTCGAGCAGAAGTGAGCCACGGACGGAATGTCAGCCCCACAACTCAAGTGCACACACACTCAGCCTTCCCCCACCCTCCCCCTCCCACCTGCAATCAGAGATGGTACAGTTCAGAGATGGGCCATTTGCATGGGACAGCCCTTTCACAAGACCCTGGAGACTCAAGACATGTGCCACACACACGCTTTCTTGCGGGGCTCCCACTTCTCCCCAGGAACCCATGCTTACTCCCAACATATTCAGAGAATTTTTCTCTGGCTGCACATGGAACATATGGGATCTATGTGGGCTTGGGAAGGAGAAGGCCCCGTCACTGCAGCAGATGCTACCACCCCCATTCCTAGCAGGTGCGATGCTCATGGGCACCCTCTGAATCAAGCGAGCAGAACTGAGAGCCAGGGCAGCGTGTTCGGCAGGCCCTCATCCCAGGGAGGCCCCCTCAAATGTGCCCCCTCACAGTCACGACAGCGGTGCAATCAGTGCAGCTGCAGGCAGCGTCAATGCCTTTTGCTGGGTCCCCCTGGGAGGAGGGCCAGTCAAGCTGGCCACCCCCCTCCTCTCCAGCTGGCCTGCTCCACATTCCTGATGCCAAACATCAGCAGGGGCACAGGACAGGGAAGCAGATGACAACTGCCAAAAGTGGCCCCCTTTGGGGGGGTCTCAGTGCTGCTCCCCTCAGGGCTCTTGTAGCATCGCAGGGACAGTGGAGGGAGGAAGTGGTGCTGTATCATTAAAGTATCACCCAAAGGTCCTCCATGTCTCTCAGTGACAACCAGCCCCAACAGGGCAGCTTCCAGTTGATCTCCACACTTCATCCTACGTCCATGAGACGCCTTTCGAGTAGCCAGGAGGCAGAGCTCCTCTGCTCTTCCGGCTCCTTGCCAGATCCCGTATTTACCAGAAGCATTTAAAACAGGGGGGAAGTGTGTGCATACGTGTGTGCACACACAATTCCTGTGGGCAGGAAGCCAGGGAAGCTGAGGGTGAGGGAAAGACAGCCGGGCTGGGCAACTTGTATCCCTCCAGATAGGTTGTCTACAATTCCCATCAGCCTTATCCAACACAACTAGTGCTGTGGACTGATGGAGCTTACATCAAACATCAGGAGAAACAAGTTGACTCCCCCTGTTTTCAGTGTATCCCCTTAAATATAAATATTGTGACAGCTGCTTTGAAGATTCCAGTTCAAAAGCCAGATAAAAATATAACAAGTTCCCTAATTTAAAAGAGAAAAGGATCTTGGTGCACAATTGTTATTACTTTTCTCCAACACGGACAGCACACACATCCTTGTCTATAGGATTAGGACTTCCAGCTTTTCTTTGCCCCAACTATTTCTGAAAAACAGAACACGATTCCTTCCTTCCTGCCTTCTACAGCTGCATTGGGAAAAAAAAATGTAGTTTGCCATGCACTGCGATTCTGTTTAACTTCCTGGTACCACTCTGACTAATCCCAGCATCATAATCCTTAACAGAAGGAGACAGAAGGATAATCTATCTCTACATCTGTAGATTTTGCTGCAATTAGCCAAAGTGTATACTAGTTCAAGTCACAACAGAGCAACCCTTGGTCTTTCTCCTTCAACACACTTAACAGTATATCTTTTAAAGAAAACAGTAGTTTGCCCTTTGAAGTACTCATATATTCTTCATATATATTCATATATTCATATTTTTTGTTTTCTTTCCCTAAGGAAATTTCCTACTCTTCGCTGCTAAAATAGTAGTCTGAGGTTCAATGTATTTAATTTGGAGTGCAACAGAAGGTGATGAAGAATTAATTGCTTCTGTCTGTATCTCCTGTTACAGCACACGTGGGCTGCAAAGGAAATGCAGAGTTACTTTTGATGAGTTCTCTTTTCCAATTGAAACAAATGTTCAAACAAAGGGACCACCCTTCTGCACTGGGGTATGTATGTATGTATGTATGTATGTATGTATGTACTTCTTTAGGAGACTTCTATGCCACCCCATTCACTGAAGCCACAGGGCGGCTCACAACCATAAATAAACTTAAAAATAGATTAACATAAATTAACAATATAAATTAACAATATAAATTAAGTCACCCTGGCCAAAGAATAAAATGAATAAATAATATTAACAATTAAGATAACATTTGAATAAAAAGGTCTTCGCCTGGCGCCGAAAAACAAATAACGATGGCGCCAGGCGGACCTCTCTGGGGAGCGCATTCCATAGATTGGGCGCCACCACAGAGAAAGCCCTCCTCCAAGTACCTACCCTCCTAATTTCCTTCACGGAGGGTTCCTGGAGAAGGGTCTCTCCCACAGATCTCAAGGGGCAGATGGGCATGTATGGACATAAGCGCTCCTTCAGGTAACCAGGACCCAAGCCATTAAGGGCTTTATAGATCATCACCAACACCTTGAAATGGGCCCGGACTTCAATGGGAAGCCAGTGAAGCTGACGGAGGACTGGAGTCATGTGAGCATAACGCCCAGTCCCCGTCAACAGCCTGGAAGCTCTATTTTGAACCAACTGAAGTATCTGGACCGTCTTCAAGGGTAGCCCCACGTAGAGCACGTTACTGAAGTCAAGTTGGGAAGTCACCAACTCGTGTGTCACTGTCGCCAGGCAGTCGTACTCCAGGTAGGGGCGCAGCTGATGGATCAGCCGAAGCTGAAAGAAAGTGCTCCTCGCCACCGCTGTCACCTGAGCTTCCAGTGCAAGCTCTGGGTCGAGGAGCACTCCCAAGCTGCGAACCTTGTCCCTAAGAGGGAGTGCAACCCCATTCAGGACTAGTTCAATTCACCCTCCCTGAAGCCCGATCCACCAAGCAACAGGACCTCCGTCTTGTCTGGATTGAGCTTCAGTTTATTGGCCCTCATCCAGCCCATTACCCTGGCCAGGCACCGGTTCAGCACAGCCACTGCCTCACCTGGATTGGTGGAAAACGAGAGGTAGAGCTGGGTATCATCAGCGTAGTGGTGATTCCGCAGCCCACACCTCCTGATGACCTCTCCCAGCGGTTTCATGTAGACATTAAACAGCAAAGGGGACAAAATGGACCCCTGCGGTACTCCATGGCATAGCTGCCATGGTGCAGAGCCATAGTCCCCCAGCACCAC